TCTATGTTCCCCAAAAGTCTCATGTGGTCATAGGGGGCTGCATCTAGAGTGTGCGATGCTGGGATTAAAGGTATGTGATTACTTAATTAGTCCACTGACTGGCTTGATATATATATATATATATTTTTCAGAACTGGGGATTGAACTCAGGCCCTTGCGCTTGCCAGGGAAGCACTTATTCCACTGAGCCATCTCCCCGGCCCCCTGTATTTTGTCTTAACAAATAAAAAAGTAAACAAGACACAACTGAACTACAAATAGTAAAATAATTTATCTCTGCTTTGGCCATCGAAGAAGTCTAGAAAAAATGGAGTATGTTATGAGATCTATGTCCTGATTTTTCTCAGAGTCCTAATGCTGTGTGATTTTATTCTCTTTAATAAAAATGATTTGTCAAATATATGCCAGTTTGCTTTGTTTACACTTCATATAACTTTTGCTATTGTAACCTCACTTATCAGTTATACAGGGGTGTTAATCTCTCTGTGCCTATTTCCTCATTTGAAAATCAAGAGTACCATAAGGCTTTTCCAAAAATTAAAAGAATTAATGTTTACAAATAATTCAGAAAATTTATTGGAATCAACACTGTATAAATGTTGAAAACTTTATTAGCATTATCATCATTGTTATTATTATTATTTGGAAAGAAAAGGCCAGGTCTGATTTGTAAGGTGCAGCTATGGACAGAACATTCCACATTTTTAGTAGCTCTTTGCCTAACACATTTCCTATTCCTTTTAAAAAGTAATAGCTGAATCAGACACCTTGCATGTTTCCTGTATCTCCAGAAATCCTCTGCTGGCTCCTGGGATTAGCGAACCAGTCCTTCCCACCTAATTGCACCCACAGATGTGCGTGATCAACCCTGCTCTTGGCTGTGCCAGTTGCTCCCCTCTATTAGCAGTGGTTTTCAGGGTAGCCCCACTAGTCACTCACCTCCTTGACACAACATGGCCAGTCTTCTGTGCTTTACACTGGTTTGTAGCATCTAACTTGCCAATACAATTTTAGAATATTCGTTTGCCTCCTGTTCTCTCACTACCTCCTTAATTTTCACATATTACAGTCACACAAAATCATTAAATGTAAATTCTGACTTATGTGTTTCCAGCCAAGACCAGGGATAATAATTTCCAACTAACACAATCTGAACTCATTTTACATTAGGGTGATTCAGAGTAGAGATTTGAAATCCTAATCAAGTCTTC